ATTTTAATTTGCACTCACAAAATAATATGAAATAGGAAGAGATAGGCATATTTGTATTCAAAAATCAATGGGAGAAATTACATTTGTGGTCTTGAGTCAGTTTTTTACTAATCTACTAACCATTAAAAAATAATAAGGGTGGCGCTTCAACGTATTGTTATTTATAGAAAAATATATTTTTTAATAATTTGAGTAATTATACTTTCAAAAAATTTCTGGTGCTCCAGTTTTTTACCTTCTGCGGTCCAGGTCTGGACCGCAGTCCGTCAGTTAATAATCTTAATACATCACAAAAAATTGTGAACAATTTTTCAATTTTAGTTTTGTTGTTATTTGTGAATTAAAAAATAGTTCAAATATATCATCTTGAACCTTTGCATCTTTATATTCTAATGGTCAATGAATGGCATATATTTTTTTAGAGGCAATTATTTGTCAAAACATTTCAATTTAAAATTGCCGATGAAAGGTGTCTCCATGAAAAGTGAAATATGGTCAATAAATTTTTAGTTGTTTTGGTTTTATAGTATAGGGTGCCCCATTAAGGTCGGCGAGATAGGATATTAGGGATTTTTTTTTATAAATCGACCAAGAGAAATTGCTGAAAATAGTTTTCAAGTTCGTAGCTCGGCCGCTAGGGGGCGCAACCTACATACCAAAACATAAAGTTCAATTTTGCTCAGAAATGTGTCTTATTCAGGTACAAGAATAGTACAAATTATATGGATCGCCGGTTTCATTGCTCATAACTTTTGTTATTGACATCTTGTTCTATCTCTATCGACATAGGGGTGGGGGAAGCCCCTAATGTCTGATCAGAAAAATTCATTTTTTTTAAGGATTGGCTCATTAAAAGCCCATTGTGTTATACCTCTTTGGAAAGGTCTTTTCATGCTTTTTCTCGTGGTGAATGCGTAATGTCATTTACCTCAATATGGAAACCTATAGACTGTGGTTATTTCAAAATAATGCCGTTTTATGGATTTTTCTCAAAAATTTTAAATGCAATGCATTCTTAACATAAATGAATTCAGCACAAAAAATTGATGAATATAGCAGAAGTTTGAAATTTCTAACGAAAGTGTTGTTTAACTGGTTCAAATTTTCTTAAAAAAGTTAAATAGCAGGATAAAACTTTATATAGTTAGTTAATATAAAAATGAGCAAACAATAAATAGTGACAATGAATTATGAACATGACTAACATTTAATTACCAACACAAAATGCGTTTATAAAAAACATACCTAAACCCACGTTACGTTTCTAACTCTGTTGGCTCAGCATCAGTTTGCCTGTCTTGTATTTTCCGGAGTAACAGTTTGAAACACAATTTTTTAGGTTCTTTTATGAAAGCATTTTGTTTTGGGACACCCTGTATAGATGTTGGCAGCCCTATCGCAACCTTGACATACGATATATTTTTCTCACATTACAAATGTAAAAATTGAAGGAAAATAATTAATTCATTGAATTATATTTATTTATTATTAAAAATATAAACAGGAACATTAAATTAATACGTAACAAAATACATGCAAATATTATTTTACAGAATTTTTAAAATATAAGTATAATATGGCATTAAATAAAACAGTATTTTTTGACCAATATTTTTTACACGTTTTTATGAATACTCATACTCATTTTAGTGAATCCAACGACATTGGAGAACTAGAAACATCGCCCAGTAATATGGGAGAAGAATTAAGTATTGATATGATCCCAGAATAAATACTGAAGTTACGTTACATTAATGTAGGTCTTGTTTGATTTTGTGATTACTGCCGTTATTAATATTAGTTTTTATAAAATAAAAGATTTCCTATTTGCGAAACCCCAGTTAACACAAAAATATATAATTAGAGTACCATCCTTGACCTTTTTTTAAACCATTCCAAATTTCCTTTATGTCACAATTCACGTCAAAGATAATATCAATATGTATTTGTTAACAAATACATTTGAACAGTTAGAGTATTTATAGGAATATATATATTATCAACGTTAACAACACTTGCTTCAAAAAAAAAAAACAAAAGCTTAAAATATGAATCATCTTAACGTTTTTTATCTGTTGGTTTTTTAATGGACATAAGCCTAAATTTGAATGGCAATTCTCCATCCCTATTTAAAAAACTTTTAATTGATAAAAACGACAGCACGACACATTTTTCTTTTGCAAATAGGTCATTCGCATCAACAGTATCATTCTCGCATATTTCTGTAAATTTTAGTTTTCTTACAGGGCCTAAGTGAACCTCAAATTCATAATAATAATTTTCGGCTTGCTTTTTGGTTCCAATGAATTGAAACAACCAATACGCCTTTTCTTTTTCAATATCCACCTTGTGCTTATAATAGAAAAAATGTTTGCCATTTAAAAATGAAATAATTTGAACGTCCGAAAAATCATTCTCGAATGATATTTTCATGTTAGCCTCAGTACGAAATTCCATCCATGTGTGATTGTTGTGGTAGTCTTTAAAATGCTTATAAATATCGTCGTATTGTCCCGACCACTCACATTTCCAGTTTGAAAACTTTTTCCCTTCGCATGAAAATTTTCGAAATTTACATTCCAGCTCGTGTGCTTCCTTTTCACTTTGGCTTAGTACAAATTTGCAGCCTTTCGATGAATAATAGCAATTAAGTTTGACACTTTTCTGAAGTTCCTCAATCATCTGCTCCATTTGATAGCATCTCGTATTCGTCATAGAACTCCTGCATGTGGGGCACTGCTGAATACTGTTCGCTAGTATGCAATTTCCACACATATTATGTCCATTTGTGCATTGCAATATTGGTTTAGTTAGAGTGTCCAGACAGATTGGACACATCATAATTTTTTCAAGCTGGGAAGACATTTTGTCTAAAATAAGAATAATTTTTCTATTACAGTAAATGTTTATTATCGAAATGAAAAAATTACCAGGACAAAGCTAACGCATATATGTGATGCAAGAACGGGATATGGTATAACTCTCTCTGAACTAATTTCGTTCTTGCATCAGCCTATAGTACGAGAAAAGTGATTTTATCTGTAGGGTTTCCGTTAAGCCAACACTGAGGAAAAAGTACATTTATAAACCTATATGTAATACGATTTCTAAAAAAAAATTTGTCATCCCTTTCTCACGCTATCTAAATTTTTGTCAAGGCTCTTATCTACTGTTTTAGGGGAACTCCCCAATTTTATTTAACACGTTCAAATAGATAACTATTTTGTAGGGAAAATATAATTTTAAACACTGAATGAAGTGAGAAGAGTCATATATTAACCTATATAGATCGAGAGTGGTCCCTTTTTACTTGAAGACCTCTAAATATACTTAAATACTAGCTAAATCGTTTATAATGTCAACACAATTATTGCATAGAAACCTCGATACAAATTTATATTTTGTTCATTTAGTGAGAAGAGATTGAAGGGAACCTGGATTTATAAAATATAAAGTACACAAAATATTTTATACACACCTATTGCCTATATTCTGACTAATGATAAATCGAGAAGTTCGTACTGGATTCCTCACAATTTTTTATAATCAACTGCAATAAAGATAAGTGTTTTAACGTATGCAGCAACTTCCGTTAATTATAAAAATACTAAATTGTATGGAGAAACACTTTCTTAAAATGGCTTACCTTGCATAAATAATTAATTTTCAAACAAATCTAAATGCAAACATTAAATTTTCTTATCATCTATATACTCTACAAACACAACCTGCTTTATAAACACAAATTGACGACAACCAATTGAATTGAACTAACTGAAGGCTAAAAACAGAAATCAGTGAATCCCAGAACACAGATTAAGCAAATTCAGTGAGCTTTGGCATAGTACGTTCCCTAATTATAAAATATGTACGTATGGAGTTCAGAATACGTTCTAAATAGTTTGCAACCATAAAAATATTATATTTAAACAAAAATTATTATTACAAAAGACTTTTTGTTTTGTTAGTATACTAGCGAAGTTATTTGTGGTATTTGCCGTATTTGCCTTCTAAATCTGAACATAGGATATTAAAAGAAGACAATGCTAATTATCAGAATAATGGGAATAAAGATTGAAGAAAATAAAATTTACCATCAATAGCCTGCTGACGAAACCATTTGAATTTTAGTTAGTAAATTACTTCAAACCAGTTATTTTTTGTCAACGAATGACTCCGAATCAACCCAATACATCACGTTTTGGCCAAAGGTTAAAGGTAAGGACGTTAAAGGCAATGCATTTGACACAAAAAAGTAACTATGTACATCAAGTTAAAAACCACTTGAATCGTTGTCAAAAAATTATATCATTTTGATGTCAGCTAGCACTGGCATTATATCACATGATTATTAAAAATTTTAAGTTTTCCACGACTAACCGCGCCGTTATTCCATTGCTACAATTTGGCCTCAATGATTTGGGATCGAGGGGGATTATCCCTCTCTATCCTGCCTCATCTCGTGTAGGCCTGGACAGCCTTCGTAGGTGGGCCCCATCCGTCGTCTACCCCGACCGCAAATGCGGCCGGTGTAGGCGCTTTGTGGGACCTCCTTTTGTCCTGGCTGGGCCCCGCCGGCTAGGGCCCTTTCTTCTGGCGCTCTTCTTGCTTCGCCGGCTCGTCTGTGTAAACCCCGGGGGTAGTGTCATGTTTATGTGTGGTATGGTTGGGTAGGGTAGTGCGGCTATGCAGCCTGGGATGCGCTTTGCTAAGGTGGCCCTTAGG